ACCCACCTACGTCGTTGTGGCGGAACAGTCGGCGCCTGCGGCGTCCTTGTTATGACATATGTGGAAAATCGCCGACTGCTGATGGCTTTCTCGCACTTGCTCCCGAGCCTCACATACTGCCAACGATCCCCCGGCCCATCACTCTTATCGGTAACTGGGGAGACAGTGTAAAACCATAATGGCTTGTTCCTCACTCCTGATCGACATGTTCAAAACACAAGTGGCTTACAATGAAAGGCCACACCAAGTTACAGCATCTGGCATGACAAGCTGATTCCCCATGTAACTCTGACATGTGGTATGCTATGTGGGTTTTCCCGTAATTCCAAGGGTGCTGCTAAGCTTCCTCTTAACCGCAGGCTGTGTCAACCCCATCGATGCCGTCGCCAATCCGAAATGAATGTTATTTTCCTTATCTCGCCATGCACATCGGGAACATCATCGGTTTGGGGTACGGGCATGTCAGAAACAACTTCTCCGACTTCTCGCTCTCCAAGAGCTGCCTGCTTGCCCACACCAATGTGAAAGCCATTGGTGTTTTAACGATTTCAAATATGATGCTCAGCATTTCGGCTGAGTGTAAAGAACACATGTCCTGGCGACGGACCCACCCATATGCAGGTGTGAATACTGCAAGACCAGTGGAAACTAAAGGAAGGGGCTGGCGAGCGGACTAACGCGTGCGTGGGAAGGGCGGAGCGACGTTGCTGCTGGGGTCGCAGAGGTCAGCGGTAAGTAACCCGTTACGCGTCTGTCGGCGAGGCCCTAGGGGGCAGCAGGCAGCGGGGCCTTCGGTGGAACTCCCTATGCCACGAAATGTGTTGGAAGCATGCCGGCATGCGAGCGGGCACGCATGCGAGTCCTGCCGCTGGGGCCTCAGGTGGAGCTACCGATGGGGCCACGAAGCGTTTGCGCCGACATGGGCGTGGTCACGCGTGCGATTCTTGCCACTGGAGCATTCGGTGGAGCTCCCTATGGGGCCACGACGCTTGTGAAGGATATGGGGTAGTGGGCGCGGTCACGAATACGATTCCTGTCATTGGGGCCTTCAGTGGACAACCCCCATGGGGCCACGAACTGTGTAAGAGGTGCGCCAACATGGTGTGGAGAAGGCGTGTGAAAGCAGCCATTGGGGCCATCAGTGGAGCTCCTTATGGGGCCAAGAAGCGTGTGAGGGGTGCGCCAACATGGTGTGGAGAAGGTGAGCGGACGCAACCACCGGGGCCTTCGGTGAAGCTCTCTATGGGGCCACGAAGCGCGCGCCGAAACTTATGGAGGCGGCATTCGAACGCAGCCACGGAGGCCTTCTGTGGAGCTCCCTGTGGGGCCACGAAACGTGTGAGGGGTGCGCCCACATGGTGTGGAGAAGGTGAGCGGGCGCAACCACTGGGGCCTTCGGTGAAGCTCTCTATGGGGCCACGAAACGCGCGCCGAAACTTATGGAGGCGGCATTCGAACGCAGCCACGGAGGCCTTCAGTGGAGCTCCCTGTGGGGCCACGAAGCGTGTGAGGGGTGCGCCCACATGGTGTGGAGAAGGTGAACGGACGCAACCATTGGGGCCTTCGGTGAAGCTCTCTCTATGGGGCCACGAAGCGTGCGCCGAAATTTATGGAGGAGGCATGCGAACGCAGCCACATAGGCCTTCTGTGGAGCTCCCTGTGGGGCCACAAAGGCGCCAGCATGTTGTGGTAGAGGCGCGCGCACGCAGCCACTGAGGTTTTCGGTGGCCCTCCATATGAGGCCACGAGCCACGAAACATGCGAGGTGTGCGCCAGCATAGTGACAAGACGGTATTCGACAACAACCCCTGGGGTTTCTGGTGCTCCAAACCCCCGAGACGCGCGAAGGGTGCAACAAACGTTTATGGACCACGTATGCGGACGAAGCGGGCGCCTGGGGGCGCTTGGGCGCCCATGGGGAATCTGGAATCGCTTGGGAACGCCTGGGAACGTCTGGGAGCGCTTGGGAACGCTTCTGGGGCGTCTGGGGGGCGCTTAGGAACGCATGCGACCGTGTGGAAGCGTCTGGGGGTTCCTGGAGCGACTGGGCGCGCCTGGAAGTCTGGAGATCCCTGGGGTTTCCTGCAAACGCCTTGGGCCGCCGGAAGAGCGCCTGGAACCGCCGAGGAAGCGCTGGGGCGCTCCTGGAGCGTCTGGGCGGGCATGGAAACATGCCAGACGCCTGGGAGCGCCTGGAAGCGCCTGGGGCCACCTGGGGAACGCCTGGCGCTGCCTGGGAGCGTTTGGGGGTTCCTGGAACTTTCGGGAGCGCCTTGGGCGTATGGGACCGTCTGGGAGCGCCTCGGGGCGCCTGGGACTTGCCTGCGGCACGCCCGGGGCCACTCGGGAGCGCGTGGGCGTTCCTGGAACGCCTGGGGGCGCTGCGGAGCGCCTGGGGGTCCGCTTGCGGACGTCCGCTTGCGCACGTCCGCTTGCGCAGCGATTCGATTCGAACGGGCCTTGCTTGATCCGGCGAGGGAGTACCACCAGTGCTGCGCACATGGTGAGGAAGACGTAGCCAGCCTTCCGCCTCGCTCGGACGCGGGCGAGGTAACTCCCGCCCGCCATCTGGCACTCCGCTGAAATCTCTGACCACTAGCCGCTCGCTGCCTTACGATTGCCGTCGCCAACGCTAGATAGCGATAGAGAGTGCAAGAGAGAGAGAGAGATAAGAGATAGAGAGAGAGAGAGAGAGATCGTGCGCCGCGGCCACATCTCACTGCGGACACAAAGCCGCGCGCTGATGCAAACATCCGAGAGTTCATCGCCGTTTTACTATGGGAAATTCCCCCCCTCTTCCTCTTCCTCCAGAACTGGGGGGTCCCCCGTTAAAAAAGTGAGCGCCCCAGGGGTCCGTTCCCGTTCCCATTCCCGTTCCCGTTCCCGTTCCCGCTCTCTCTCTCTCTCTCTTGTTTTTTTTTTGTTTCTCTCTCTCTCTCTCTCTCTCTCACTCTCTCTCTATCTCTCTCTCTCTCTTTCTCTCTGTCGCCCTCTCTCTCTCTGTCTCTCTCTCTCTCTCTCTCTCTCTCCCCCCCCCACTCCCACTCCCGCTCTCTCTTTCTCTCTCTCTCTCTCTCTCGTCCAGGGGGGCCCTGGGGCCGAGATCGAAGAACCGCATACCCCCAAATCTTGCAAAAGCTATGAGAACATCAATTCGCCGGCCCAACGGGCCAGAGGCGTGCTAAGATCTCGGGTAGGTTGTAAACAATATGTCTAGTTCGCGCGCGCGGGGCGGGCCCCGGGGGTCCCCAGACGAAAAGTACCCCGGCAGACTCCCGGCAAGGTCTAGGCAAGTCCTGTTCAAGGATGCCGGAACTCTTTTTCGGAGCTCCAGAGGGCTCCAAATCGGTCCAAGAGGGCCCCAAGGGGTCTCCCGGACGGTCCAAGAGCGCCCCGAGACGCCGAAATATTACTCCACAGCGCCTGACCTGGCCTGCAGACGGCCAAACAAGCCTTCACGACGCTCCAAAAAGTCCCTAAGCGGCGTCCCAAGGGGGCCCCCAAAAAGCAACAATCGTCACGTTCCCACTGGAAAACGTACATTTTTACAATTGCCGCGTCTTCGGCTTCCACGCCGTCCAAGGCGGTCCAAGTGGTCCCCAATATCGCCCCAAGACGTCCCGATATGCCCCTGAGGCGGCTCCAAGACGTGCCAAGATAGCCCCAATAAGGTCCAAGAAACCCCCAAGGTGGCCCAAGAGGGATCCAGGACGGCTCCAAGAGCGGACCCAGAGGGGGAACCTGAACGGACATGTCGAGCCTTCGGCCCAAACGCGCCCCCCTGGAGGCCCCTACAAGCCCCCGAGAGGCCCCAAGAGGCTCCGAAGAGGCCCCAAAAGAGCCCCAAGAAGCTCCCAAGAGGTTCCCAGAAGGCCCCCGGGAGGCCCCCAAGAGACCCGCCAGACCCCCGCAAGAGGCCACCAAGAGGACACGCACCACCCCCACAGAAGAATAACCACCTCGCCGCCACGTATAGCAAGTACGCGGACAAAAACACACCCCGTAGAACAGTAGAGGCCGAACCCGCCACAACAATCTCCAAAGAAACTGATTCATCCCCATGCGATCTGCCGCAGCGCCTCTGGAAAACGACCACGGCCCAGCAGCGCCGCCTGGCTCGCGACCGCGCAGGCAAACGCCAGCGATGGCACAATACGGGCCGGCGGAATGAGCGAAGCGATTAATAATTGCAGGTCCCTTCCACCCTGAAAGGGGGATCAAGAGGGGGGCCTTAGAAAGGCCGCGGACGCTTGGAGGCTTGTTGGGCTCTGCTGGGAGGCCTCGCGGGGGCCTCTTAGAAACATGTTTCAAGTTTGTTGGGGCCCGTTTGGGGCTTCTTGGGTGCGTTAGGGGGGATACCTTGGGGGTCTCCTTGGGGGTGTTCGAACCGGTAGTGACCTTCCTCAATTTTCGAGGGGGGGAGGGGACGGGTTGGAAACCCCCAGTGACCCCCCTTCGTTTTCCGCCAGCAGCGGTAGAACACGCTCTTTCAAACATCACGTGACCGTGCAAACTTCTTGGTTGCGCAAGCTGCCCCAGCTGATGATATGTGGGCTGCCATGGAGGATGGTGGAGACGGGTCCTGGAGGAGGAGGAGGAGGAGGAGGAGGAGGAGGAGGAGGAGGAGAATGATGGGGTTTTCCTCGGGACCATGTTCCAATTCCGAGCCATCCTTGACGGTCCCAGGGCCCCAAGATGACCTTGGGAGCTCGAGCGCGGCGGAAAACCTCCAGGACATCGTTCCTGTAGAGCCCCGCTCCTATCATGCTGGCTTTAGGTCGGGCATGTCCCCCTACAGGGGGATCTTGGGCGAAAAACTGAAAGTTGTCAAAAAATACCCGCAACATGCTCAAACATACTCAAAAACTAGACCCCCGACCATTTTTGGACCGACCGAATGCTGGCTGCAGACTACTGATGGCCTCTTGGCTGGAAGCGTCCGCAGCCCGGCAGGCAACGCAGAGCAGAGGGCGCACAAGAGAAGCGCTACATGAACTCAGTCACGCCTCTGGTGGGTTCCCGAACGCCTCCGGAAGTCCCCCGGGGAGGCACCTGGAGCCCGGCAACAAGCCCACGACCTCCCAAATATGAAGGGGCCCTGGGACACACACACACACACATTCTCTCTCACACACACACACACACACACACACACACACACACACACACACACACACACACACACACACAAATAAGCACAAATAATAGGATTCCCCATGTTTCCTGGGTTTTCGTCTTCCCCTCACTTCCCATATGTTCCTATATTCTCTGGGCAATCGACGATTAACTGTGCCTGTGTGTTTTTTCCCCTCCCAAATCCTCGGCCCTCGAATCCTCGGACCTCGACGCGGAACCGAAGTCTCGTGTGGGCGCCATTTGAGGAACTCTTCGAGCGAGAATCCAAGGTACCCACCCCGATGGATGAGGCTCTCCGCTCGTGGGCCATCAGAGGCCTCCCAGGTGGGGTCGGAGTAGAGCGGATTCGAGAATCTTGCCGCATCGCGGATACATCGGCGATGCATCGGCGACGTCGTCGATGCAGCGGCGACGTCGGCGTGGAGAAGATCGGGGTCGCATCGAGCCGCAGCATCGGCGATGCGGAGCGATCCTCCAACCCCGTCTGCTCGGACCCCTTCTGGGCTGCCTAGAGCCATCTCCTCGTCTCGGCAGAACCAAAGGATGCGCCGAGCTCGGGGCCCCACAGAGAAGTTTCTGCCGAGCAGCCCTCTTCGGCAGGAGCAGGCTGGCCATGCCCGATGTCCGCGGCGCGGAGGGGCCGGGCACAGCTGCGCAGGGCAAGGCAGCAACCGCCAGGGCACCGAAGCGGAAGATCGGATCGGATCGGCGCGTGTGTCGAGTCACGCCGCATCGGCTCGAGTCGAGTCGGTGGCTCGCCATGGAAGCAGCGGGCCGCAGCCGGTCGCCCGAACACCGGAATCGAATCGGATCGGGCCGGCCAGAGCAAGGGCTGGATCGAAATGGGCCTTGCAAGGAGGCAGGGCGTCCTTGGCGGGACGCTGCTGCGCTGCTTGTTGTGCAGCCAGACCTGCGGAACCGCCGACGGGGAGAGACAAGTACTACGTGTGTGTGCCCCCGCAAATCCTGCACAACCTCTGGGCCGCATGGGGGAGGTTTGAAGGCTGCGACTCGCCTGCAGAGCATGCTATGGTCAATCTTCCAGACGCTATTTGCGCATAGACCTAGCGGGCTACACCAGACACAGAAGGGCACGGAGTGGCCAAGGTCACGGAGCCTTTGATTCAGACATTGTCTTTTTCTGCGATCCACAAGCGCTGATTCCACTGTGTTGTGCTACATAGAGCGGCGTATGCGTTCATATGCGCACGGGAATGTGTATATATATACACATACATATATATATATATATATGTGTATATGTCACACAATACTCTGACATCATGTTATCGCCTCAATGCTGGCTGCATGTGTGGTCCAGACGGCCAAGATCCCCTGTAAGCACATTCGCTAAGGTACACTGAGGTGCACACAGTTGTGTTCTCACCCCTGTCCCGCCTGTCAGCGTTCTTAGGAATCCCTTGGAATACCCAAGAATGCACGTTTTCACTGGCCGACCTCCTACTCCTCCAACAGCCTCTTCACCTTCACTGCTATGATTTGGGTGCTTTGATGAGGAGATTTCCCTGAGGTTTTTGAACTACTCTAGCGGCGTACTCGCTTTCGTTTGCGTTCGACGCTCCAAGACGGCCCGAGAGGCCCCCGAGATCGCCTCAAGACTGCCCGACGCACTAAGGTGGCCCCCGAGACCACCAGCAAGCCAACATGAGGCCTCCCAGAAGCCTCAGGAGGCCCTCAAGAGGCCCAAGTTAGGTCCCAATTTGCCCCCAAGGGGCCTCCGAGGCGCCCCACGGCACCCCATAAACCCTCTCCAAGGGGCAACCCAAGCACGGCGGCGTGATTGGCCGCAAGTAACCACATCCGCTGCCCCCTGTGCTCATCAGTGGTGCTGGGCGTGCCAAGTGTCTCCTCCGCCTACCCGACGCCAGAGATGGTCTCCAACATGGCCTCCAAGACGGCCGAGACGGCCTCCAAGACTGTCACAAGAAGGCCAGGATGGCCCCAAGACGGCCCAGGATAGCCTCCACACGGCCCAAGAGGCCCCGCTGAGGACCCAAGAAGGCTCCAAGAGGACCTCCAGGAGGCCAAAACTATTGGTCTACAACTGTTTAATCTCTTTAGCGTTCTCATATTGCTCCGACACTCCAAGGCGGCCCCATAGGCCCCCAAGATCGCCCCAAAACTCTCCAGGAGGCCCCAAATTGGCTTCCAAGACGGCCCAAGAGGGCCCAAGGGCCCCAAGACGGCCCCCAGACGGCCCGACAGAACAAGACGGCTTCCGACGGGCCAGGAATGCCCTCAGACAGCAAAAGAGGCCCCAAAACCACCTAAGAGGCCCATGGATGCCCTCAAGATGCATCCACAAGGCTCCCAGGAAGCTCCTAGGAGGCCCCAAGAGTTCCCCCAGAGGCTCCCAAAATGCCCTCTCCTCCTCCTCCTCCTGATCTTCCCCGCCATCCTGCCCCAAGTATTCCCCGGAAGGTTTCTACAACGGCTCGGGGAACACAAGGTCCGATAGCTCGGCCACATGGGCGATTCCAAAAGGCAGGGGGCGGCGGTGATTCGCCGTAGGCGTCTTCGTACACATAAGTATGCGAAACACATTATGTTCCTTCTTCTTCTCCTCCGCAATGAACCTACCCTTGTCTTCACCCCCCAAAACTTACTATCTTCCTGTTCGTGGGGAAGCATTGTGCTGACGACAGCTGGACAGTCTATCCAGCCAGGTGCCGGTACGACATCCACATCAACGACATGCAAGACATGCTCTGGAAGTATGTGACCCCCTTGCGAAATACGAATTCGCAACAGATCGAGTTCGGCTCGTGTGACACACGTCCTAGCCAATGGGCCGCAAAATAGCAGAAACAAGACGTACATACATGCAGGCAATTTTATGTCGATGCTTCCTTCCCCCGGAAACAGTCGAAGTCTTGCAAAAAGGAGCCCATGATAAGGACATGCACTAATTCCCTTTCTCGAATTAGACTCGAATCCTCTGCTAGGGCGCACTGGCAACCGAAAGAACATGGAACCCACTCCGAGCTACATGTGGTAAGTGCTCCATACGTTGACGATCCGACTGCAACTAGCCAAGTATTCTTTCCTGTTGGCAGCGGACAAAGGGATGCTGGCGAGGGCACGAAGGCCAACGGCCGCGCCTGCGTGCCTCCCACCTCGTCGCCGAACCACCAGCCGGAGTACTCCTTGTGACCGCTTTTTTCTTTCCCGGGTGACGGTCTTGAAGGAGGCCGCAATCGGGTGCCAGCCCCTGGGTGACCTTCGCAGGCACGGTCTGCTGAAGGCCAAGCTCTGGGCGGTCGGTCTTCGTAAGCGCGGTGGAAGATGACGTGTTGCTACAAGACCAAATCTATCCAAGCCAGGCCAGAGCAAGCCGGCGCAAGCCGAATTCAGCCCGAATGTGTCTGATTCGGCCGGGCTCAACCAGGACTGCAGTCAACACGTATCATGCGGATGGGCGGTAAGAGTGCCAGGGCCTTGGAGGGCCATGCGGGTTGACTGCAGTACCAAGGAGAAGCCAGGGCCGATGTTGCAACCTGACAGCAGGCACGGAAGGAAGGACCAAAGGCGGATACGGGCTGGAGTGTCCCGCTCGGTCGCCGCGTCCCGCCTGCTCCCTTCTGCAATCCCTGCTGCCGGGCTCTCCTGAGGATAACGTGCTTGTACACCTCGCCGAATACAGGATTTGGCCATCGCTCGGACGTCCATTCCCTGTGTTGTTTCGGTTTCGTGCGTGGCTTTTTCGCAGGATGATCCAGGATGCTCCTTAATGATGCCCGCCGAGAAAAAGTGCACACGTCCGAGCGATACCAAGCGATACACCCTCCCCGGGAGGCTTCACCGCCATCAGACGGCCTCGCGCGGGGGGAGCTGGTTTCTACCTCGGGCCTGGGGCCTCCGAGAGGGCCCCAGACGGCCACCGCGATGCCTCCAGATGGGCCCAAGAGATGTCCGGGTGCCCCAAGATGTCGCACCTGCCCTCAGCTCGGCTCCCCAGGTGCCTCCAGATGGCCTCGGAGGCGGCCAAGACGGCCAACGCTGGGCGCCATGGCGGTTCAATACGTCATTCTTTTTTGGTAAAAGCATGTTAAAAAAAAACAAACAGAACCCACGGCTCCTGGCACTGCTTGTCGTTCCAGAAATAGAGGAACACATTGCTGCTGGCCTTGGGGCCCTTCACGTCCTTCCTGTACGTGGGCTTGTCGTGGTTCTCTCCGACCTTGTTGTACCTGGAGGCGAACAGAAGAGAGGACGAAGGAGGCTGAGTTCTAGGTGGAGGCATGCCATGGACTCCTGCGAGGCCAAGCTGGAGAAGGAGTAGGTTGGCCCCGAAAAAGCCACCCCGAGGGCGATCGGAAGGCATGCGGGGGGAAGGAGAGAGGGGAGAAGGCGAAGAAGGCGAAGGAGGTGAAGGAGGTGAAGGAGGTGAAGGGGGGAAAGGCAGGAGAGGGGGTAGGAGGGGTGAAAGAGGGAGGGGGAGGCGAGCAGGCGGCGGAGCAAGGGTAGGGGAAGGAGCCTGGACCCCTCCACGAACTTCGCCAAAGGCCCCCCTCATCTCCTCCACCTTTTCTGCACCTTCCGACTTCATCCTCACCCTAATATGCTCCTTGTCTTTCCCCCTCCTCCTCATCCTACTACCGCTGGCCTCCTCGTCCTCTCCCTTTTGCTCCTGCCATGATCTGGGAGGGCCAATCACCAAACGGGTCCTGGATAACCCATGAGCTCCTCTGAAATGGCTTCCCATGTCGAGCCGTTTTCCTTTAATCCCAAAACAACGGCGATGGTGTAAGATAGCGCACCGACTGAGGCAACGAATTAGTAAATTGCGCGACGCCTCGCGCAACCTATGCTGGAATGGTGCACCCACTCAGGCAACCTACGGCGGACCGGAACCAACTAACGACCTGGTAGATCTCGGGGTGACTGGCGCAACGGCGCAACTTATGGCGCAATTGCACCCCCCCGGGGCAACGCATTACTTGGTCGATTGCGAGGTGCCTGGCGCAACATATGCAGGATGCCGTTTGGTGTCTCGTGGCGGAATGAAAGCTGAAGATCTCGGGGCCCTGCAGGTTCCCCCCAGAGGCCGACAAGGGCCCATGACGTCAGGACCCTTTGTCACTCGAGACCCGTCTGGCCGATGGCGATCCTCCCTCACAGACCACGCCTGGAGGCCTCGGCAGGCCTCTCCTCTCTGGAGGCTTCTGGACGGAAGCCTCAGCAAGCCTCCGGATGCGTCCCGACTCGGGGCACCTATGGCAGATGAGAGGGCCTCCGAGCGCTGTGGGGGCCCAGAGAGGGACGCGATCCACGATACCCCCCTCTCTGGAGGCTTCTGGGCGAAAGCCTAAGTAGGCCTCCAGATGCACCTCGATTCGGGGCACCTCTGGCCGATCAGAGGGCCTCTCAGTGCTGTGGAGGCCCAGAGAAGGACACGATCCACGATGCTCGCGGAGGGGCACGACCCCCCCTGGAGAGCCGGCCGTCGCCGCCAGGGGGGGGGGGCACTCCCCGCACAACTGCGCGCGGATGCCAAGCTTGTCGTCCGTGCCTGCGAGCGTCACCACGAGGTCGTGCGCCGCCGGCTGCTGCGGGGGAGGGCGGTCCATCCTCTCTACCTCTTCTCCTCTGCTCCTGCACCTCTTCCTCTTCTCCCTTCTTCCTCCCCTCATCCTCACCCTTCTCCCCATCCCCCTCTCATCCGCCTCTCTCCCTTACCCTCCGACTTCTGATGCTCCTCTCCTTCTCCTCTGGGTTTCCCCCCTTCTCTCTCACTGCCCTTTTTTCTCCTACTCCTCCACCTCCCCCCGTCGTCTTCCTCCTCGTGCTCCTCCTTCTCCTCCTTCGCCCCCTCCTCCTTCGCGTCCCCCTTCTGGGGTGGGCCGAACGAGGGGGACATGGTGAGTGCAAACAGCGAAGAGATACGAAACAAAATGGCACATGGAGGGTGCTCAACGGCGGCCACCGACAACAGACGTTGAACCCTGCAGCGTCCTTCTTGGAAGCCTGCAGATGGTGGCCTGGGTTGGCGCTTCCCGGGCCCCGCTGCTTCGCCCATGGTCTCGTGGGGATACGGGAATAAAACATGGAGCGTAGCAGCCTGATGCATACATGTTTATACAGCTATCTAGATTTATGAGTTGATAAACAATGTGTCGTGTGGTTTCGCTTCGTTTCGAAGGCGGCATGGAAGCCGTCTTCGAACAACCAGAGCACAGGGTAATTCAAGTGCTCCTGCAATGCTGTAAGAAGTTGATCGCCGCGGCCAGGACAAGCAGGTAGTTACACCAGTAGACAGACTGGGCGGCGTTATATGTAGCTGCTGACTGCTGTGCGACTCAGGGTCGCCACGAGGACCTGCGTCCACTCCCTGACCAGGCGTTGAAGACGCGGAGGGCAGGGGAGGGCCTCGAGGGCACCCAGGAAGAGGAGAGGAGGACGAGGAGGAGGAGGGGGAGAAGGCGGAGGAGGAATTCCAATCAATATGTGTCATCATTTGAACAAATGGCCTTGCCGGGGCGGACCTGGAGACAAACTCAGCGCCTACAGCCGTGAGGGTAAACTCGATCAGAGCAACAACCCGGTTCAAAACACTAACGCTGAGCGTAAGCACATTTTTGTTAAGGTCTTCATTCGTGCGACAACTAACGCTGCTCTGGTTATCCAGAGTGCCCGCACCAAAGGTCACTCCAGACAACAATAATGACCAGGGTGGGGATGAGATGATAATGAAGACCCCTCATGGTGGTGATGATGATGGTGGTGATGATGGTGGTGATGATGATTACGATGCTGACGATGATGATGATGATGCTCATGATGATCATGATGATGTTGATGAGTATGATGATGGTGGTGGCGATGATGTTGCTGCTGCTTATGATGATGATGATGATGATGCTGATGATGATGATGACGATGGTGATGGTGATGATGATGACGATGATGATGATGATGATGCTGGTGGTAATGATGACGATGGTGATGATGATGCTGATGATGATGGTGCTGCTGCTGGTGATGCTGATGATGTTGCTGCTGCTTATGATGATGATGATGATGATGATGATGATGATGATGATGATGATGATGACGATGATGATGACGATGAGGATGAGGATGATGATGAGGGGAAGGACAAGTGGACAAGGTCGAGTTGAATTGCTAGCCAAGCGCCAAGTGTGGGGGCCGGTTTCTATAAAATACCCTCTGAGGTTAATTAGCCGAAAACTCCTCGAGCCCACGGACCTCTCCTGGGGTGCGTGCCGACCAGATTTTTAAGGCAAATCCAGCGGTGGCGATGAGGGGCCACCAAGGAGGCCGAACAAAGGGAAAACGGGCGAAGGGTAGGTCTGGGCACCCTTCCCAGACCCCCGACGTCGTGATGTTTTCGCAACGTCGACCCTTAGAGGTCTGCACCTCTTCCCCGGGACCGGTTGTTCCTCCTGAGCCGTTTGTTAACAGTCCCGAGGCCCGGTGAGGGCCCCCACAGAGGACGACCAAAGCGACGCACCTCCCGCCGTGCCTTCTTCACACCGCGAGGGGGCTCTGGGCTTCCTCCTCGCACGAGCCCCACACTTCTGCCACGCCCCGAGCGGGGCCCCCCAGAGGCACCCGGCGCCGCGGGCGCAGCGCCCGCGGCGGCGTCCGTGCCGCCGGGCGCGCGTGCCCTCAGAACAGCGGGTAGCCGAACGTCTCCGCGCCGCAGCGGGGGCACCGCCGGGCCGCCGGCGCGCCGGGCGAGGGCGCCTCGACGAGGCGCGCGCAGCGCTGGCAGCGCTCCTCTGAGGGCCACGGCGAGGGCGGCTCTCCTCGTCCTCGTCGTCCTCGTCGTCCTCCTCGTCCTCGCCGCCCTCCTCGTCCTCGTAATCCTCCTCGTCCTCCTCGTCCTCGTCGTCCTCGCCGTGCTCCTCGTCCTCGTCGTGCTCCTCGTCCTCGTTGTCCTCGTCGTCCACGTCATCCTCCTCATCCTTCCGCTCCTCGTTCGCAGAGGCTCCCGAACTGGGGTCCAAGCGGAGAATCGCGCCGCATCGCCGACGCCGGTGTGGAGAACATCGGGTTCCACATCGAGCCGCATCGCCGATGCGGCGCGATCCTCCGACATCAACCACCTCTGGGGCCCCATCTGCGAGGCCTGGCTAAAACACCGTTTAGGTCCAGCCCTGGTTACATAGTCCCGGGGACATGACTTCAGCTCATAATGATAGTCAGGCATAGCTATGAGCAGCAGCCATGTGCTTGATCATGCATTGTCTAGGTCGCCCAGCTTCGCTTCGCGCTGCGCGAGGTGCGGTCGTCTGCACGCCCTTTCGCACCGCCGCCTCGGTGAGGTCCAACCTTCCAGCCCAAGCCGCGACGCGCGACGCAGAATCAGCCTCGCGCCCCGTGACGTCGGTGACCGACCCCGAGGGGTGACCTCTGGGAGGGCCTTCTTGGCTGCTCCTGGAGCTGTGGGCGAGGAGGCGCGAAGGCCGCGAAGCGCCTCAGCAGTAGACGAATCCAACCAGATGCAGTCGGACCTAGGCCAGAATAGCATCCCTCCAGAACACGAGACCCTTCGTCGGCCAAAGCGAAACATCCAGGGGTACCCTCCCCAGGATGCACAAGAGCATCCAACAAGCTCGAACAACACTGGGGCACCCAGCCCGAGCCGACCTCGATCTCATACTTCGGTCCGACTGGACCTTGCTGTGTGAAGTCTCCAAGCGAAATTTCCGATCCAAGCTCGACTTCGCTTAGTGCCTTGGAAGGGGGCCCGGTACCATCAGGAAATGCGACGTCTCTGTCATTTAGAATCAACCCGCATAAGAAGGACGCGCGATAAGGATGAAAGAGCCTGGACGGCCACGTCGACACTTCGCAAGCGGGGCGCGCCCAGCGAAAGCGGCCAAGAATGGGCCGAGGGGGAAGGATGCAAGGTTAACCTTCGAAAATCGCTCATCCTTACCATGCAAATTGACTGTATCTGTTGAACCTCGGCGCTGGACAAACCTCTTTTTAGTAAACCTCCACTTAGTGAAAACTGCCTAGGACCGAAACCGACGGACCTGGACCCGCAAAAATGACGGCCGCGACGCCCTCTCGCGAACCGAAAACAGCTAATTCCTTAATAGACGTGTCAGGGTAGGAGGTCTATCAACCTCCGAACTTCAAAGACGGAGCTACGATGATGCACCAGACCCTCACCGACTTGCTACCAAACGCCGTGCGCGCGACTCGGGCCGCCCAGTTCTGCGGCTCGCGCCGCGCTGTGCGCGACACGGCTGCCTGCACGCTGCCTGGCCGGCCCTGCAATTAGGTCGGGCATGTCCCCCTACAGGGGGACTTTGGACGAAAAATGAAAAATACCAAACAAATACCCCTAAGTGACCAAAGATGTCAGGGTAGGAGGTCTCTACCAACCTCCGAGAACCTGCTGCATCGGCCCTCCTCGCCACAGTTGACTCCCAGCTCCTGGGGGCGCGTCCCTGGGGGCGCTTCCTCGGCAGCCCTGGCCCTCGTGGGGGGGCCTTCGGAGGCTTGGTTTTAGGTCGGGCATGTCCCCCTGCAGGCGGATTTTTGGGGAAAGTTGCAAAACATTCCAAACATATAATCAACATGCTCAAACATACCTTTAAAAATAGTCCCCCGACTATTCTTTACTATTTGTGAATATTCCTCCTGTAAAGGGACAGGCCCGATTTAAGCCTGGTTCGGTTGTTCCTGGACCTGCGCGCGAAGGCCCTTCGCGATCGTCTGCGCGAGGTCTGGCGCGCAGCTTCCCATCCCGTGGCAGGGATTGGCCGCAGGGGGCCTGGCGTCGACGCGGCCTGCGCGCCCGAAACAGATGCGGAACTTAGCTGCCCCAAGACGCACCACGCAACACGTGACGTATTGATACGGAGCCCAACATGTAGACTGAACACGTACGGAAGGAAGGAAGGAGGAGGAGGAGGAGGGTGAGGCGGAGGAGGAGGAGGAGGCGGAGGAGGAGGAGGAGGCGGATTTCAACGCGGACGTTTTGAACACGGCACGTGCTACGTTTCAAAACGTGCGTATCAGACCAGCTAAGGTGCGGAAACAAGTGGGCACGATGCCCAAGATCGAATGTTACCCAAGACCGATCGCGGCCACTGTCGGACAGCGTCCGCGGCGACACCCACCGCGAGCCGTGCTTGGAATGGGCAGGAAGTGCTGCGGGCCTCCGGCCGCCCGCCGTGCTGCAGCGGCCACGCGGCAGAGCTGCCGCCCTTGTGGTGTCCCTTCCATGGGAGCCAGCGTGGCCCCCGGCGCTGTCTGATTTGGGCCTGGTTTGCACTGGGGCTGGAACACAGGCGGGCCCCGACTTGGACCAGATTTGGACAGGATTCGCCCCTTGAGGCAGAGGAAGGGGGAAGGAAGGAGGACCAGGAGAGGCGAGGCGGAGCAGGAGGAAGGGCCAGGTGCGGTCCAAATGCCGTCCAGGTGCAGAGTAAAGATGATCTCAACGTCGCTGCTCAAGGCTCCAATGGGCGGCAGTCGAGGGGCCTGTAATCGGTGATAAATCGCTGAGAGATCGGCGATGCAGTCGGACCTGGGCCAGAAGAACATCCCTCAACAAAACGAGACCCGCCGTCGGCCAAAGCAAACAGAACATCCAAGGGTACCCTCCCCAAGGTGCACATGAACATCCACCAAACACGGAGAACATGAGGGCACCCCACCCGGACCGACCTCGATCTGATGCCTCGGTCCAACTGTAGACCTCCGATGGCGAAATCCTACGTTCCTGGGCGGGGCGGGCCCATCGGGCCCTCAGAGGCGATGAAATTGGGGCGATCGCGGGTCGATGCGTACCCCCTGAGCCCTCCTCCCCCCTGCCGTTGCCCCTCCTCCTGGATCCAGGAGGAACGAAACTGAGACGCCAGGAGGCCCGGCGGATCTCGGGAAGGCCGTCAACAGCTCCACGTGCATATATACATATAGATATCTGTATATTCATCACACATACAAACAAGCATACATGCGTACATACATACATGTGCCCATGCACGGATACGTACATATGTCATTCATCCATACATGCAGACACACACATACATACATACATACATACATACATACATACATACATACATACATACATACACACACACATACATACATGCATGCATGCATGCAAGCATGCATGCATGCATGCACACATACAAACATACATACATACATACATGCATGCATACATACATACATACATACATACATGCATACATACATACACACATACATACACATACATCCATACATACATACATACACATATATACATACACACATACATACATACATACATGCATACATACATACATACATGGTTGCATGCATGCATGCATACATACGAATCTGCATACATACATACATACATGCATGCGTACATACATACATACATACATACATACATACATACATACATGAACCTATACATACACACACATACACACGTACACATATACACACATACACACATACATACACACACATACATACGTACATACATACATACATACATACATACATACCGACATGCATGCATGCATACATGCATACACACATACAAACATACATACATACAGAATGCACTGCACGCATTGCATGCTTCCATACATACATGCCTACATACATACATGCGTACATACATACATTCATACATACACATATACACACATACACACATACTTACATACTTGCGTACATATATACATACATACATACATACACACATACACACATCCATACGTACTTACATACATAAAGACATGCATGCAGACATACATGCATGCATGCATACATACATGCATTCATACATACATGCATGTATGCATACATACATACATGCATACGCACGTACATACATACATACATGCATACATACACACATACACACATCCACACATACACACATACACACATACATACATACATACATGCATACCGACTTACATGCATGTACACATGCATACATACATGCAAACAAACATACATACATAACGCATTGCACGCATTGCATGCATCCATACATACAGCCATGCTCGCATACATACTTCCATATGTATAGACATACATACATACATACATACATACATACATACATACATACACATACAGACATGCACACATACACTCATTCATACACACTCACGCACACACATACATTGCATTCCAGAACACTGCGCTACACTATATTATACTACGGAAACTTGCATTATACCACACAGCATTACACTACACTACACTGCATTATATCCGAATACATTACACTATAGGCATACACATACGTGTACACACATATGTATGGTCAGAACGTCAATACGTATACCTATGTGTATACATGTATATATGTATGCATTTATGTATAGATATATGCATTTGTGTATACATATATGTGCATATGAATGCATATATATATATATATGATATGCTGTGAAATTGTATATACGTATATGGTTCCCCCCTGTGGTCATACCTTTCTCTGATTCTCTGCTTCTTCCTCGTGTTCCTATAGGTTCGTTATCCTCCCCCTCTCCTCCCCATCCGTCTCCTGCTCCCGTTCCTCCTCCTCCCCCTCATGTAGCAATATAGAACCAATACCAGACAGCGCTTGGCGCCCTCAGTGCAAGGAAACACTGCGTATGTCTATTCACTGTTTGGTTAGCGAAGCCACGACGCACTGCTTTTTCATATCATTTTTTGTGGTTGTGCACGCCCCAGTGCTCGCCGCGGCCTCCCTCGCAGCACTTCTGAGCCTGCAAAACCGAAGACAAACCAAACATACGCAGTAATTGGCGCCCTTGGTGCAAGGGAACACTGTGTATGCTTGGTTTGTTTGGTTGTGTGGGTTTGTGAAGCCACGGAACAATGTGTATGTGTTTGTTTTTTGTGGCTTTGCAAGCCCCATTGCTCGCCGCTGCCTCCCTCTCAACGGTTCTTTCTGAGGCTGCAACGCCAAACACATACACAATGTGTCCTTGCAGCCCAGACCAAAACAAACAAACAACACAAACAAATGCATTTCCCTGAACCGTTTCAAGAAGAAAAAAGATGAAGAGGGAGGCAGGCCGAGGGATTCCATTGGATTTGAATCGGATGCAAGCTGGCACAACAACTTATGTGGAAAGGGGGGGGGCGGAAAAGGAGGAGAAGGAGGAGGAGAAGAGGGAGGAGAGATCCTATGTGATCTGAATCAGGCCCACATGGGAAATCAATCGGGAAGAAGGAAGAGGAGGAGGAGGAGGCGGGGGGGAGGAGGAGGAGGAGGAGGAGGAGGAGGAGGAGGAGAAGGAGAGAGGAGGAGGAGGAGGAGGGAGAGGAGGAGGAGGGAGAAAGGAGGAGGAGGGAGGAGGAGGAGGAGGAGGAGGAGGAGGAGGAGGGGGCTCCTGGTAGCGCGTGCCGCGGGCGGGCCCGAGCGACGCCAGCACGCGCCCGAGCGAGCGCGGGGCCGCGGGGCCGCGCGCCTCGGCCGCGGCCCCGCGGGCCGCGGCGGCTGCGGCCCAGCGCCGCGCGCGGGCCTCCGACGCCCAGGCCGACAGGGTGACCTCTTGGCGGCGCGCAGAGGGGGGGGGGAAGGGAGGGAGGGAGGAGGCCCCGACAAAGTGACCTCTTGGCGGCGCGCAGGGGGGGGGGGGGGGGAAAAGGGGGAGGGGGGGAAGGCTTCTCGGAAGCACCCTGCCTCTTAGGAGGCCCCGGCCTTGCATCTATAGATAGAAGGCCAGCGCCTTCTGAGAGGCAGGGGTGCCTCGGAGAAGCCTTCCCCCTCCCCCTACCCCCCCCCCCTGCGCGTGGCCGAACCTCTTTCGGCGGCCAGCCCGCGGGGGGGGGGAATTCGAGCAGCGAAATCCGAAACTTGCCCTCGCCGATCAGCCGTGGAGGAGAGATCGGACATCTGTCCCTACAGGCCTCTCTATGTGTGTTCCAATGCCTGTGCCGTCAAGCTTTCCGGAATCTCCTTCAAGAGGAGTTGGCAAGCCGTTTGGACCTCAGTGAGGCCACGTCTTCACTATTTCATTCGGGATAAGGGTTCTTTTACCCTCGATGAGTTCAGGTAGCTCGACGGGCGGCGGGGGTGAGGTTCGTAATTCGTCGAGCACGTGGCGACATGCAAACCCCCGCCTTGGAAGCTGGTAGGGGTAGGGTTTGGGCATCGCCATCGAGAAGTGAGAGGGAGCGGGCCTTCTCAAAATGCTCAGGTGGTCTCCGGCCTTCTGACAAATTTTACGGCCACTCCCTGGCGACAGAGGAAGCTTCTCGGAAGGCAGGGGGGCTTCTGAGAAGGCCCGCCGCCTTCGAGGACCCCCTGCCTTCTGAGAAGGCCTCCTTCTTCTAACTTCCCCCCAGGCGCGCCGCCGACCCTTCGGGGAGCGCCAGGCGTTGCCCGTTCCATGGGGCGCAGAAGGACATGCATATACAACGAACTTTCAGGCGATGAGGTTCGGGCGGGAGGCACCAGCGTGTCACTCCATCGATGCCACTCCACCGATCCCACTCAACCCCGCCTGCACGCGCGACACGAACACGATACCGAAACCGATGCCCTGGTGAGGGGCTCTCCGTGTCACTGCGATCTTGCCCCCCTCTCACCTCCGATTGAATACCGTGCGCCCTCCTGGGAGGCACCTGCCCGGGCCGGACCCATGGTACAGGAGCCTTATCGGAGATCGGTGCCCAGGCGGTGTGCACGGTTTCCCCCGGGGCCGTAGGCGACCCGAGGGGGACGAGGAGGAGGAGAAGGAGGAGGAGGAGGTGGAGGAGGGGGAGGGGGCGGAGGAGATGGATGATGAGGAGTAGGAGGCTGAGGAGGAGGAAGAGGAGGAGGGAGGAGGAGTAGGAGGAGGGAGGCGGAGCAGGAGGAGGAAGAGGAGGAGGAAGAGGAGGAGGGGGAGGAGGAGGACGGGTCGCCAAAGCCCTTCGGAGAAACCCTCCAAGGCGGTGTGACCAAAAAAGACCCGCCACCGAGCATGTGCTGGAAAATTTCTGAGCGGCCGACACACACATAGTATGCAGTCGTAAGCCATAGTACAACCGGGCGGTAAGGACGCAAGGGCCTTGGGCGCGGAAGTTGACACTGTTGGGGCGGCGGACTGCCAACACACTGAAGGGCTGGCAAGCGAACGCCGCGAAGGACGGGCCGCAGAGGCGAGGACGCAGAGGTGCCCTGAGGACATGCGCGCGTCCTTACTATGAGTTTTGATGTATATGTCTGGGTTGTGCCAAATCCACGAGCTAGACCGCGTTGTGCGATGCCGCTGGTGGAATGTCGCGAGCTAGACCGTGTTGTGCGATGCCGAGGACCGTTGCTTGGTTTTGATCTAGCTGTCGAGACGAAAGACAAACGAAAACACGACAAAACGGAAAACACTGTTCAGAGTTTGGCACGCGCCCATGGCTGGTGGATAAACGCTGTCTTGTGGCGTTCTCCAGACTCCTTGGCACCGCTGATCTCTGACGGCGCCTTGGACACCAACGGCGAAAGCGTGCGGGCGGAAGCGGTGGCGTCTGTCCGCAGGGTAGAACTCTCCCCTCCCCTCCCCTCCCCTCCCCCCCCGACCCCGTGCGGGGTTGACACCCTCAGCCCCAGCGCTGTGAAGATTGGCGGCGCGCAGCAGGGGGCGGGGCTCTTCTTCTTCTTCCTCCTCCGTCTCCTCCTCCTCCCGCTGCCGTCGGAGGTCCCACTCGTCACCACAGCCGGGCGCGGCTTGGAAAACGGGCCATGATAGAGCCTGGAAGGGGTCCAGGGACAGGCTTCGAGCGGCTTTCGTTCAGGGACGAGGCGATGGGATGGCCTCCTGAGAAGGCAGGGGGCTGCTCAGAAGGAGCCCGAGGCTTGTAGGAAGCCGTCTTAGAAGGCGCCGATGGCTTCTAGAAGAAGTCCTCTGCCGTCTTTGCCGGCCACCTTCCTCGCCCCGTCCAATCTTAGACAACCGCGTTCCACTACTCTCCAAGTAACTACGTGCAAATGACCTGGATCCGACATAGGAGATTTGCGATACATTACATCGAGGCAGACATGTGTTTTTTGTCGGACGCTTGTGAGTAGGCACTTTGCGAGTAGTGGAACGCGCTCGGTGATTCTATAAGAAGTCCTCTGCCGTCCTTGACGGCCGCCTTCCTCGCCCTGGCCAACCCTGCGCGCCGCGGATGCGGTCGGCAACTGCGCGACGCTGTGCCCTGCAAGCTGATAGCGTGTCGCTCTGGTCCGCGGGATAGGAGGCCGGGAACGGGAAAGGCTCGGGACGTGGACGCCTGGGGACCGGCCAGTGGACCGCGTGCTGCGCCTAAGCTTGGGGAAGCGCGAGTTGAGCCACTCTTGCTTTCAGTCGGCCCGAAATCGATCCCCAGACCGCTCCTGGGGTCCAAAAGGACCAGTTATCCGAGCTGCGTTCAGACGTGGCGACGAGGTGATGGGCCTGTTTTCCGCCACCACCACCATAAGTTGGAGGGGAGAGGAGGAGGAAGAGGAGGAGGAGGAGGCGGAGGACGAAGAGGAGGAGGAGGAGGAGGAGGAGGAGGAGGAGGAGGAGGAGGAGGAGGACCCCCTCCCCCTCCAACTTATGGTGGTGGTGGTGGTGGTGGAAAAAAAGGCCCATCGCGAGGAGGGCCCCGTCGCAGGCCGACTACCTGTTCGTCCGGCCCGATCCACGAACAGAGGATATATCGACCCCCATCCCAGGCTTCGTGGGGTTTCCGAGTGGACCAAAAATTTGCGGCCCAACCCTGGGATGTACGAGGGGGGACGTCCATCCTCGATAGGGGTGCGTCCGAATAGCCACCGGGGGGTGTATCCCAGTGTTCCCCTTCTTTTCTTAGCAGCTTCATCTTTCGTCGGAAAGTCGGGGGTCGGGATAGAAACATCGCCTGCGATCCACTCTTGCGCGCCTCCGACCAGACTTCGGTCGGGCATGTCCTCCTACAGGCGGATTGAAGAAAAATAACACATCGTCAACAAAATACCCCAAAATACTTAAAACAAAAGAATAGAAAAAATCGTCCCATGACTATATTCTGTTGGGGCTATTTTTGGATATTCCTCCTGTAGAGGGACACGCCCGACCGAAGACCGGACTCCAGCGCTGCGAGGAGCCCAGAAGCCACGTCGGATGCTCCCGCCCCGACTGCGGACCGCGAATGGCCGTCGCGGGCCCGGCCCGGCTCGAGGAGCGCCGCGGGGAGACTTGGTCGAGGGCTCCCTGGGCGCGGTCTCCCACGGCGCAGGTCTCGTGGGCCACGGCACGGGGCAGCGCTTGTCGAGCTCATCATGGTGAGGGGCAACGACAGGGGGGGACTGGCATAGGGTCAAGTCGGGCGTGTCCCTCTACAGGGGGAATATTCAACAAAAAAAAAGTCTGGGGACGATTTTTCTGATATTTTTTTGTCTGTTTTGGGGTCTTTTTGACTATGCTTCATTTCTCCTCCAAAATCCGCCTGTAGAAGGACATACCCGACCTAAGCATTGGGGGGGATGCATCGACCTGGAATCGGCGATACGTCGCCGATAGATCAGCGATAGGCCTCCGATAGTGAATCCGCACCTGCCTGGGCAAGTTGGGGCTATCGGGCCCCTATCGGCGATCAATGGGCGATTGGGGGTCGATGCATTCCCCCCTATGGCTATCCCCCCCTATCGTTGCCCACAACATGGGCCCGTGACAAGTGTGCGGTCCCTTGCTGGCACACCGGTCCGAGGCCCAAGAGGAAATCACGTGGTCAAGATTGGACTTAGTGTGCACTCGGCGGCCCCAAGACCTCCTTCGCGAACCCCTGCGCCGTGCACGGGAAAACCGCGGAGGTGCAGGCGACGAGCCCGCTGAGCCCAGGGGCGTGCAGCTCCCGCCAAGAGTCCGCAAAAGCTCCTGCTGCCTTTCCGATGTCACCGACGGCATCCTGCGCAAGGTGGCTGGCACTGCAGACGAAGTGCGCCGGCGGCAGCGGCTTCTCGCCCGTGCGAGGGAGCGGGGAGTATTGCATAGCCACGCCAAGCGCGACGTTGTCACCGAGCCGGAAGAACGGGGCTTCGCATGCGTACAGACGAACCTGTGATGGCAGCAGGGCGCCGACGATGCGACTCCAGGGCATTACCAGCAGCCTCCAGATGAGGATTGCGAGCACTGCGCGGAGCTGGTCCCAAAGAGCCACGCTTCCGACGACGTGTCTCGGCACCTCAGCGAATCGCCCGACGAGCGCCGCCTCGTGCAGCTGGGCGCGGCCTCGAGCTGCCAGGGCCGCCAGATGCGCGACCAACGCTGCCGCTGAAAGCCACCGGGCGTCCGAGAGGCCCCCAGCGGCGACGCACGACAGCCCGATCAGGAAGGCGGCGCCGCGCGCTGCGAAAGCAGCCGACTGGCAGGTGGCGACGTAGACCGTGACCAGCAGCGCTGGTCAGTGGTTTGAAGATGGGGCCCTGAGGGATGGGGTCCTAAGCACAGGAAGGGATCCAAGGGTGGATCTGCAGTGTTTGAAGCGCCTCGTCCTTACGACCCCGTCCGTCAAGACCCTACTCCCGATCCCTTATTGATGAGGGCGCGCCGCTGGATGACCCCCTTTCCCCGATCCGTCGTCGGAGACCCCCCCTCCCCTTCCGCCCTTTCCCGATCCGTCGTCAAAGAACCCCCCGCCTTCCCCCCTGTCCCGGTCCGTCGTCGGGGAACCCTCCTTCCCCCTCCCCTATCAAAAGGGGGGGGAGGGGGTTCCGACCCCCCCTTTCGCCACGGCGCCCCCGGTCTCCGGACCCCGACCCCGACCACCCCTAACATAAATACTCACCCTCACCCTAACCCCACACACTAACCCCAAACCCAAACCCTGGCCCCAAACAGCACTCACTACCCACAATTCACTACTCGCTACCCACTCTATTTCACTACTCACTACTCACTACTCACGACTCACTGCTCACCACCCACGACTCACTACCCGCTATCCACTACTCACTACTCCCTACTCACTACTCACTACAAACTACTCACTACTCACTGCCCACTACTCAATCCTCACTACTCACTGAACACAGCTCTCAACCCACTACTCACAAATCACAAACCACTACTCACTACCACCAACCACTATCCACTACGCACTACTCACACTTCACTACCCACTACGCACTGCCCACAATTCACTACGCACTATCCACTATTCGCTACTCTCTACTTCCTAGTCCCGACACAGCACTCACTACTCACTACTCGCCACTCCCAACAACCTACTCGCTTACCAATACGCAGTATGCACTACCCACTACTCACTTCTCACTACGCTCCCACTACTCACGACTCACTACTTCCTACTCCCTACTCCCCACTCCCCACCCACTACCCACTACCCAGTACTCACTACTCACTACTCACTAAACACTACTCACTGGCCACTACTCACTACCCACTAAGCAATACTCAGTACCCACTAACCACTACTTACTACAAAGTACGCACAGTTCACTACTCACTACGCACTGCTCACAACTCACTACTCAATATCTGCTACTGGCTACCCAATACGAGCTATTCACAGATTTACTACTCAATACGAACTACTCGCTACTCACTACTCACTACTTCCTACTCCCTACTCACTTGTAACTAGTCGCAAGTCGCTACTCACTACTCACCACTCACTACTCACTACTCACGACTCACTACTAACGAACTTCTATACGCAACTCCCTACTCACTACCCACTACTCAATACCCACTTCTCGCTTCTCACTACTCACTAATCACAACTCCCTAGTCACTACTCACTACTCACTACTAACTACGCACTACTCCCTAATCGCTACTCGCTACTCACTACCCACTATTCTCTACTCCCTACTCGCTACGCGCTACTCCCTACTCACTACTCACTAGTGACTCCTGACTACTCCCTCCTCACCACTCACTATTCACAAGGCCCTACTCGCTATTCACTACTCACTACTCGCTAATCCCTACTCGCTACGCACTACTCCCTACTCGCTACTCACTACTGACTCCTGACTACTCCGTCCTCACGACTCACTACTCACAAGGCCCTACTCTCTACTCACTAGTCACTACTCGCTACTCCCTACTCGCTACTCCCTACTCGCTACTCGCTACTCACCACGCACTACTCACTACTCTCTACTCACTGCGCGCTACTCAGTACTCACTACTCACTACTCACTCCTCGCTATTCGCTACTGTCTACTCCCTCATCCCTACTCCCTGCTTACTACTCACTACACACTGCTCAGTCCTCGCTACTCATAATTCCTCACTCTCTACTTCCTTCCCACTTCTCACTACCCACTATTCACTACTCAATACTCACTAATCTACACGCACTACTCACTACTACCACTACCTATCACCCACTACTCACTACTCACGACTCACTGCGCACTACTTTCAGTGACAAATACCCACTACTCACCTATCGATATGCAAAACACCCTACTCTCTCCTCACTACCCGAGAGGCCCCCTCCCCAGCCCCCTGTTCGGCGCAAAAGGAAGGAAGGGGGGGAGGGGGGTCGACCCCGCCCCCCTTCTAGCGCCAAGGGGAAGAGGGGGGGGGTCCGGAACCCCACCCCCCTTGAAGGGGGGGAGGGGGGGCGGGGGGGGGGTCGGACCCCCCCCCCCTTAGGGGGTGAGGGGGGGGGGGGGGTCGAAAATCTCACCCCCCCTTTGAAGGGAGGGAGGGGGGGGTTCTGCTGCGACCACCCCCCACCTTTTGTGTATTCAGTGCCATCCACTGGCGCGCTTTCCTTATTAATCGACCCCCGCCCTAAAAAACCGGACCCCCCTCCAAATGCGATCTAATATTCCGGACCCCCTCTCTTCGACGGGGCGCCTTAATAGAACCCCCTGAGTTCCAATCCAAAGAAAGCGCCCTAATAAACCGGACCCCCCTAGTTACACAAAAGAGGCGCCTTAAAAAACCGGACCCAGGGGACGATTCATAAAGGATTTGGAGCATCTTTGAACCACCGAGCTGGTGCGGCCGCCACATCCGCCAACAGCAGCTCCCCGACCAAACGCGCCGGGGACGCCCACAGGGCCAACAGCAGCCGCTCCCCGGCCGGGCTCGCGGCCGCCAGCGCCAGCGCCAGCGCCGCGCCGTAGAGCCCGGCCAGCTGCAGAGCGTGGACGACGAGCTCGGCGGACCGAGCGCCGCTGCCGCGGCCGCTCGCCGCCTGCAGGGCCGCCCGCAGCGGCCACGCCATCGCCAGCGGCGCCAGCAGCTCGCCCGGGCCGGCCGCGCCCGGCTGCAGGCGGCCGCGCGCCGCCCACGCGGCCAGCGCGAGCGCCGCCGTGGCCGCGAGGCGCCGCCGCCCGGGGCCGCCCGCGGGCCACTCCAACAGGAGCTCGGTGGCCAGCAGGGCCCAGGCGCCGAGCTCCAGCGCCGGGGGCGCGGCCGCGGGCCACGGCCCACGGGCGCAGCGCAGGGCGCCGGCGCGGTGGCCCAGGAGCCCCAGGGCCAGGGCGTGCTCCTCCCAGGTCCAGGCCAGGGGGCCCGCGCCCAACAGCGAACCCGCGGCCGCTGCCAGCGCTCCCTCCGCGGCGGCCAGCGCCAGGGCGAGCAGGAGCAGGGCGGCGGGCTCCTCGGGGGGTCCGCCAGCGGCGCCGATCGGCAGGCAGGCGAGCGCGGCGGCCTGGGCGGCAAAAGCGAAGGCGGCGCGTGCGCCGAGGGCGAGAACAGCTTGCATCTCCTGGGCGTGCTCGAAGATCCGGTACTCCCGTGGCGGCCGCTGCAGCGGCCCCACGATATAGCGCGCCATCAAGGAATGCGCGGAGCGGGAGTGCTTCGCCCGACGGAAAGCCTCGCTGGCATCCTGGGCCGCCCACTGCCGAAGCACAGACTCCCCGCCGGGGTGTTCTTGCAGGAAGGGGGCCACATCGTACACGGAGCCGTCGATCGCGATCAGCAGCGTTCCCTCACCTAGCCCCGCGGCAAGCACCTCCGGCGCCACGGCTGCCAGCGCGCGCGCCTGGGGGTCTGCCGTAGCGGCTGTCGCGTCTAGGGCGACATCATCTGCGTCCACGTTCCAGGCACGGGTGTTCCACACTGCGTGCTCTAAGTCGTGCCTGGACCACGAGTCCAGCACGAGCAGGAAAGTGTAGTTCAGCAAGGAGAAGAATATCGCCATCCCGTGGTACAGAAGCTTCTCTTCCAGGCGCAGTGCCGCAATGTGACGCCTCCAGAAAACTAACGACACCACGTACAAGGCAGCGCTGCCGCCGCGAGCCAGCCAGAAGAGCAGTAGAGTCGCCTGCCAGTGCCGCGACACGTCAACTTTCTGCCGCAGCCAGACAGGCTGCGGGCTGGCCGCCAGTGCCAACTCCCTGTGGTTGAGCAGCAGCACTGGCAACTCGAAGATGAGCCCCAAAGCCCCCACAGCCGCGCAGCTCCGCAGGCGCAGCAGCCCGAGGTACCCCGCAAGGGCGACCGCGTGGTGGCACACGTAGCACCTTGTGAGGAGCGCAGCAGGATCGGCGCTGAGGCTAGAGGAACAAAAGCCTGCATAAACATAGATTTTCAGGGCGGTCCGCGCGGCTTCTTGGATCTGCGCTGAACCCCGCTCCCTGGAGCGCGGAGCGCGCCAGGGGCGGCGCTGGCGGCGCCGCTGGAGAGGCCTGGCGCCGATCCAAGATATCCGTGCGGACCTCCGAGAAGCTATGCTTCTGCAGGGCTTCTGCTCCTCGAGAGGCGAAAGACACGCTCCAGCCCCGGGCCGAGCAGTGGCATGCCCCCGGCGTCTTCCCGGATCGCCACCGCCCAGTGCCCCGCTGCCATGGCAAACAGCACCTGGCTCAGCTGCCCCGATACGCAATACGCAACACGTATCGTATTGATACGGAGCTCAACACGTAGGCTAAAAACGTAGGTCCGACGCGATACATTCGCCAAAACGTGGTCCAATACGTGGAGCCAACACGCAAAGTATTGACACGGACGTCTTGAACACGGGACGTGCTGCGTTTCAACACGGGCGCATCGAGGCAACCAAGGTGGCACCTGGTGCTCCGGCCCGAAGGCCTCGAGCAGGTCCTCGGGCAGGCGCCGGCACCCCAGCAGAAGCCGCGCGCCGCCGAGCACGGCCAGGGCGCAGTAGGCCTGCGCGCGCACCAGCCTCGCGGCGTAGGCGCCCCGCTCGCGGCGCAGCGCCGCGCGGCAGGCGGACCACGCCGCGGCCCACGCGACGCAGAGCGCGGCGGCGGCCGCGTCGGGCAGCGGTGGAGCGGGCTGCATCCTCCGAGGGCGGCGGCCTTTCCGTCGGGCCTGCTCCGATGTCAGGGAGCACCCGAGATGATTGCAGACACTCGCGGGTGTCTGGTGACGGCCGTGAGCTTCTGCTTATCGTGTCACGGCGGCGTCCCCAGAGGCACGCTATGCCTTGCGAGCGGATGGCGTGTCGTTCCGCTCCACGGGGCGGGAGGCTCGAGAAAACTGGGGACGCTGACGCCTCGGAACCGGGAAGTGCATGGCGTGTCGCGCCGCAGCACGGTGGGCCACACTGGCGGAGCGACGCGCTATGCAAAGGTCCGGACCGCTCATCTTCCTCCTCCTCTCTCCTCCTCCTCCTCCTCCTGTTCCTCATCCTTCTCCTCCTCCTCCTCCTCCTCCTCCTTCTCCTCCTCCTCCTCCTCCTCCTCCTGCTCCTCCTCCTCCTTTCTCCTCCACCCTCTTGGCCTGTGTGCACGCCCGTTTCGTGGGACCGGGTCTTGGTGCAGATCGGCTCCTTGCCGTGAAGTGCGGGCCTGGCCCCATAGAGGGACCCGCACGTGGAGTCTCTGGGTGGTGGCGAACGCTTCCCTCTCGCGACCGGGCCGCCGTCGCTGGCGATCCCCCCCCCCCCACTCCTACGGACCTCGGACGACTCTGCCTGTTCGCATCGCAGGCCCCCAGACCTCTTCGGCCCCTCCTCCCTTCGGGCATTGCCTGAAGGAGGGGCGAAAACCCAGGGGGCGAAGAGCCGTGCAACGCTCCTGCCCTTTCTGAGCCCCAGGGGCACTTTTGGGGCACAAGTGGTGCACCTGTCGTCAACCCTCCCCCCCACTTACCGCACCTCCATTACGCAACGCCCGATCCAGAAGCTCGAGGCAATCTCTTCATCCCGGGTCGTTCTTCTAGAATCTCGGGGGCACCAGTTGGTCGGCTCGCGACGGAGAAGGTCTGGGCGACCCAGTGCCTCATGACGTCTCTGGAGGTCTCTGCAGGTCCCCGCAGGCCTCCAGCACTCACAACAAATGTAGCAATACGTCCACCAACCTCGATTGCCGTCGTCGCCGTCGCCGTCCTCCTCCTCCTCCTCCATCCATTTTCCTTATGCATAACTCCTCCCTGTCGCACCTCCGAGCGTGTCTGTAGGACGGGCATTTCGCCGGAGACTTACTCACCATGTATGATCCCGAGCGTTGGAATTTGCAACAGTTTCACGGATGCAGGGCGGGCCGTTTTCAATATGTGGCTCTCGCCTTAGCGCCGCGCGCATTCGTTATAAACAGACTTGTAACTGCTTCACAGATGGAGGGCGTGCCGTTTTCAAGATGTGGTTCTAGCTATAGCGCAGCGCACATTCGTCGAATCAGTGGTAACATATGAACGAAGGACAATCGGCTTTAAAACCTGGTTATCGCCCCAGCGCCGCGCACATTCGTAGAACAAGTTTGCAGCAGCTTCAGGGACGAAGAGTGGTTCTTTTTCAAACTGTGACTGTCGCCTTAGCGCCGCGTGCATTCGTTTGGGATGTTTGCAATACTTTCAAGGGGTCGTATGGTCGAAGTCCCAGGACGAGTGTTCTGACCAGATTTTGGACGGCCAGGTTGCAGCAATCACGTTGGATCGCCATGTTGAGGTCCCAGTTCTGGCAGGGCTTTGGATCGTCAGGGCGGACCAGTCACGCTGCTCCGCGGCGCTGAAAATCTCAGGCGTTGTGCTTAGGCACGGTCATAGATTTTCAGGCGGTTGCCTCTCATCGGCGCGCTTCCAGCAATGAAGACAAGTGCTTGCCGGGCCCTGTGCAATCAGGGGACTTGCAGGGAGGGTGTATTGCAACAGCGCTGCCGCGCCTTGGGTTTGCACTGGTCCTTCTCCTCCTCCTCGTTTCCGCTCCTCCCTCCCATCCTCCTCCTGCCCAGGCTCCTACCACATCCGCTCTGGGGCTCTCGCGGTCCTGCGCCCTGGCCGCCAGGCCCATCGCGCGCGCCCGTGCGCGCGCGGTCGCCGCACCGCCGCCAGGTGGAGGCCAGGACTGCTGCGAGGCGGCCGGGGACGCGCCCGCCGCCCTCTGCGCCGAAACGGCTCCGTCTGCTCGTCGTCTCCTCCTTCCCTCCGTCTCCCTCCTTCTCCTCCTGCGTCTGCTCTGGCTTGTCATCCTCCCCATCCTTTGTTTCCCCTGACAGCACCCCTGACCCCCCTCCGCCACCCTAGAATCCACTAGAGCTCCCAACCCAGAAAGCTCTCGACCCTCTTCTCCCCACCTCCTCCACTTCCTCCTTCACCAACTCCTGATCCTCGTCCACCTTCTCCCCCCTCGTCTCGCTCTCTCTCTCTCTCTCTCTCTCTTTCTCCCTCTCTCTTGTGTTCTCTCTCTCTCTTGCACTCTCTCTTTCTCTCTCTCTCTCTCTCCCTCTCGCTTTCTATCTTCTCATCGCGCCCATCCATCCGAATGGTTTTCCTCCTCATCATTATCTTCCTCCTCCTCCTCCTCCGACTCCACTCCTCCTCCTCCTCCTCTTCCTCCTCCTGATCTCCCTCATCGTCCTCTTCCTCCTCCTCCTCCCCATCCTCTTCTCCCTCCTCCTGCTCCTCACTCACCGCATCCAGCCCGTCTCCTCCTCCTCCTCCTTCTCCGTTTTGCCTCGCCAGTCCTCCTCCTCCATCCTTATCCTCCTCCTTATCCTCCTCCTTATCCTCCTCCGTCCTCCTCCTCCTCCTCCTCCTTCTCCTCCTCCTCCTTCTCCTTCTCCTACTACTACTACTACTACTACTACTACTACTACTACTGCTACTACTACTACTACTACTACTACTACTACTACTACTACTACCACCACTACCACCACCACCACCAACCACCACCACCACCACCACCAACCACCACCACCACCACTACTACTACTACTACTACTACTACTACTACTACTACTACTACTACTACTACTACTACTACTACTACTACTACTACTACTACTAATACTACTAATACTACTACTTATACTACTACTACGACTACTACTACTACTACTACTACTACTACTACTACTACTACTACTACTACTGCTACTGCTACTACTGCTACTACTACTACTACTACTACTACTACTACTACTACTACTACTACTACTACTACTACTACTACTACTACTACTACTACTACTACTACTACTACTACTGAGACTACTCTATACTACTATTAATACTACAAAAACTGACTACTACATAATGTACTACGACAACTACTTTGACTACTACTACTACTTGCTACTATGCGGCTGCGCACTACTACTCACACCTACTACTACTACTACTGCTATTACTACTATAACTACTACTACTACTATTATACTACTACTACTACTTACAACTACAACTACAACTAAACTTACTTACTACTACTACTACTACGTACTACTTGCTTTACTTACTACTATATACTACGACCTACTGACTCCGGACTTACGACTACGCTACGACTACGACTACGACTTACGATACGATCTACAGACCTACGACTACGACTACGACTACGACTGCGGACTACGACCTGTGGACTACGACTACGACTACTACTACTACTACTACTACTCCTCCTCCTCCTCCTCCTCCTCCTCCTCCTCCTCCTCCTCCTCCTCCTCCTCCTCCTCCTCCCTCTTCCACCTCCCTACTCCTCCTCCTCCTCCTCCTCCTCCTCCTCCTCCTCCTCCTCCTCCTCCTCCTCTTCATCCTCCTTCTCCTCCTGCATCTGCCTCTCTCCCTCCAATCCTCCCTCCCTGCCCATATTTGCAGTATGAGGAGGTAGAGGAGGAAGGAAGAAGGATGAAGGCAGCATGAGGAGGTCCCCTCATCCATCTCTTCCTCCCTCTCCGCCTCGTCCCTCCTTCTCATCCCGCTCCTCCTCCCCCCGCCTCCTTCCCCCTCTCCGCGTCGCCCCCCCCTACCCCCTCTCGTCTCCACCGTCCCCGTCTCGCTTCTAGGAAATGAAGGACTGGAGGAGGTGAAGGAAGGATGAGGAGGACGAGCGAGAGACAGGAGGACGAGGAGGCTGAGAAGGAGAATGAGGAGGGAGGTAGGGCCTGGAGGAGAGGGTGGATGACGCGAGCGCCGAGGAGAACAAAAAGGACTAGGAAAAGGCTCGAATGTCAAGGCCTTCAGGGTCAACCTATCACGGCGGGCAACGCTTAACCGACCTGACCGGATCTCTGCGGGAAACCGCGTAGAAGCGTTCACGAGGGGGTGGAGGGAGAGGAGGACCGTCCTTAACAACTAAACGATATGAATACTATTCTCCCTCCTCCCCTAACGTTGTCACAAAGATCTCCCGCCCCCTCCGCATGTTTTTGTTTGGCTTCTGTGTTTCCCAACCCTTCGTTGTTGGGTCCTCGTCTTGAATAGAGCACCGTGGTCGCGCCCTCCTTCCCGCCCCCTCCCCCCCCTTGGGGGATGCGACTGGGGGGGGCAGCTTCGTGCGGTGCTACGCAGAGCGGGACCTCGCCAGCCCTGGGCGGCTGCGATCTGCGAGCCTGTCGCCACTTTCAGGGGCTGCTGGGGGGGCCGACATAGTAGGGCCCCGCCCAGATTCCGACCAGACCTCGCCAGGCATGGGGGGCTGCGATATGCGCAACTGTCGCCATGTTCGCAGGCTGCTGGGGGGGGCCAGCACAGTGGGGCCCCACCCAAATTCAGACTAGACCTCGCCATCCATGAGGTGCTGCGATCTGCGAATGTGTAAACACTTTTGATGGCTGCTGGAGGGGGCCAGCACAGTGCCCCCACCCAGATTCAGACTAGACCTCGCACGCCCTGTGCGAAGCTGTCGCCACTGTCAAGCGCTGCTAGGGTGGCCAGCACAGCGTCGCCCCAACCAAACCAGATTAGACCTCGTCGTCGCTGGGGGCCTGCGATATGCGAACTTGTCGCCACTTTCGCGGGTTGCTGGGGGGCCAGCGGAGTGAGACCCCATACAAACCTAAATTAGGCCTCGCCAGCCCTGGGGGGCTGCGATCTACGACATTGCTTCGATGTTCGAGGACTGCACGGGGGACCAGCGCAGTGGATTTCCACGCGCAGTCAGACTAGAACTCGCCATCGCTGGGGGGCTGCGAGCGTGACGGCGTCTCGTCGGGTTGCTGTCGGTCTCGTTGTCGTCTCGTTTCTCGTTGTCGCTTTTGCCGTCGCCATTGCAGTCATCGCCATCGCCGTCGCCATCGCCGTCGCCATCACCGTGGCCGTCGCCGTTGTCGCCATCGTTGTTGTCGTCGCCCCGCGGCGGACGGGCTGCGGCCCCGAGGCATGGCGTAGCTCGAAACATAGCTTCTCTACTTAGTATGACTTTCTTTGCTCGTCGCTCTCGTGTTGCTGCCACGCTCTTTTTGGTTGCTGCCTCGCTGATGTGCCAGGAGGCCTGCCCAACACCTCCTTTTAGCCCGTGCCCACTTGTCTCCTCGACCCAAGGGGACGACTAGCAGCCTCTACCAAACACTTGCCCATTGATCAGGGTCCTGCGAGTCGCGCAGCCCCGAGCCTCCCCAATAGTGCTTGCAGAGAATATACACGTCGGTCATTTCTAATCGTGCTCATCTCTAGCTGTGTTCGTTTCTAATTGGTCCTGGCCCCCTAGTGGCCAGGAAGAGGCCCAGGATAATGTAATTAGACATGAAAGGCTCCCCAACATCAAAAAACCCTCGAAGAAATACAAATGAACACTGTGTACCTCATTGCCAAATTATCACCCCCAAAAAGATCTACCCTGTTGATCTGTCCACGCATTGCGCAAGGTTGGGTACGCCGCCTGGGTACTGTACAATGTGGTTGTCTGAGGTGTTTCGAAGTGGCACTCCCGCTGCAGCGTGGGCCCCATTTTCGGATCGGCGCTTTGCTCCCGTCGTTCAGACTGGCGACCTCCCCTCATTTCCCCTCCTCCGTATTCCCCTGGTCCTCATGTTCCTCCCGCTCCTTCCACTCCAGTTCCTGTCTATGCTGCTCGTCTCGCACCACCGCGGGCCACTTTTCAGGATCCGAGTCGTTGTTCACTGTTGCCGCCCCCCACATGTATCCCCTCCTCCGCCTCCCTCTGGTCCACCCATTCCTTCCTGCCCTTCTGCTTTAGTTCCTGGTGTTGCTGCCGCTGTTCGTCCTCATTCACCTCCTCCCGTTCATCCTCCTGCTCACCCGCCACCTTCTCGTCCTCCTCCTCCTGTGCACAGAGACCCCCTTTCCCGATTCTGCACAACACGGAGTGTTCTCTCTGTGGGAGTGAGTCACAAGTCGGCTGTGATACGCGCCCGTGGACAAGCGAAATTCAGCGCCATGAGAAGGGATGGGAGTTGGGGATAGGATGTCAGACGAGGCGCGGCCGCTCCTAGCTGGTCCCCTGCCTCCTCTCCGCACTCCCGACTGGGGCTACTCAAGGACAGTGCTCATGTGGGCTTTTCCGAACGTGCGCTGCCCTAGCAGCTGCCCTCCTTGAGCAATTCTTCGGCCGACCCTTTGGGGCTGCAGCCGTGCCGCGCCGATCCAGCCGCAGACGAGACCGCATACGAGCCAGTGAACCAAGCCCCTTTCCCCCTGCTGGAGTCCTCCTAGAGGGGGTCCGAGTGAATGGGATGACAAGGCCGCCCACGAGCCAGTGAACCAAGCCCCTTCCCCCCATACTGGAGTCCTCCTATATGGGGTCCGAGTGAATGGGATGTGAGAATCGCACCGCATGCATCGGCGATGCATCGGAGATGCGTCGGCGACGCTGGCGATGCCTCGGCGACGTCGGCGTGGAGAAGTCCGGGCTCCACATCGAGCCGCATCGCCGATGCACCATCGGTGCGGCGCAATCCGCCGACCCCGTCTACTCCGACCACATCTAGGAGGCTTAGACCCCCCCCCCCGCCTCCCTGCACGGTTTCTCCCGTGGCCGTAGGCGACCCGAGGAGGGGGAGGAGGAGGAGGAGGAGGAGGAGGAGGAGGAGGAGGAGGAGGAGGAGAAAGAGGAGGAGAATGAGGAGGAGGAGGAGGAGGAGGAGGAGGAGGAGGAGGAGGGGAGGAGGAGGAGGAGGAGGAGAGGAGGAGGAGGAGGAGGAGGAGGAGGAGGAGGAGGAGGAGGAGGAGGAGGGGGGCGAAGGAGGAGGAGGAGGAGGAGGAGGAAAGAGGAGGCGGAGGAGGAGGAGGAGGAGGAGGAGGAGGAGGAGGAGGAGGAGGAGAGGGGAGGAGGAGGAGGAGGAGGAGGAGGAGGAGGAGGAGGAGGAGGAGGAGGAGGAGGAGGAGGAGGAGGATTTTTTCATCGACGCAAAGATACCCCCACATACTCACAGGTGGTGGGGTGAGGCCACCTGTAGCGTGAGTGCACCTGCCGTGAAGCCCACCACAAACATGAACCCGAAGAAGACCTCAACGAACAGGAGCACGCACGGCATCATGAAGAGCTGCCAGAGTCGTCCCAATCCTCGTCGAATACACGGCTGAGACACGAACTGTGCCACGTAGCACGGCAACGCGGACAGGCTGTCACAACCGCTCCACGAGGAATGGGAATTCCACATGCCCTGCATGAGCACCTCCCTGGCCCACGACGCCGACGAACGAGGGTGCGATCGCAACGGGCGCAACCAGGATCAGACCCACTGACATCGAGCAACCACGGCGGTACATCAGGCTGCCGCCGCACGAGGCCCGCCTCACGGATCGCCTTGTCTCTACCGTCGAAGGGGGAGGATGAGGATACAGCCGAAACCTGCGCGCAGCCGAGCTCCACGTCCATACCCCCACAGGCGACCTGAGCGGCAGGCTGACCCAGAGGAAAGACGCCTTGAGAAAGAACAGGTACTTCACCTGACCCGACAGAGCGGCCAAGAGGAAGATCATGAGCAGCCGGGCTCGGAGAGACGCCCTCAACGAACTCCTGCTGCGTGCCATCCTCCACCGAGCGCACATCGACGACAACGGCGTTGGAGTCGCAGCTGGGCACCGCAAAGGGCCGTCCAGGTGCGACGAGTACGGCTTCCGCAGCGCTCGACTCCTCAACGACCGCCTCAGACAAAGCAGTACCAGGGCACCTCTCCCCGATGGAACTCCCGTCGACAACCTGCGACTCAGACAGAACGGGCTGCAGCTGCAGCTCGGTCAGCAAAGTGGCGACGTCGCACGGCCAGCGGGCGAAGAAGTGTTGACCCGCACCTGGCAAGAAACAGGAGGCATCCGCGTTCCACTCCGTCGGGCCAACGACCAGCGGCTCGAGCACGGGCAGCAAGCGCGAAGGCACGGCGTAGCAGACCTCGATATCCTTCTGAACTGGTTGTGCGACCAGATTATGCACACGACGACACTCCTGGGCGGCCAGCCGAGGGCCGAGGCGCAGACCGCGCCGCGCCGCGCGCAGCTGGCGCGGACTGGCGCGCGCCACGTCCACCCCAGAGGCCACGGCGTGGAGGGCCACGTCCCTGCGCAGCTTGTCCGCGGGCACGGGGAGCTGCCCCCGCAGCAGCGAGGCGAGAGCAGGTGCCACGGCGACCAGCCGCTGGACCACGAGGAGGAGGAGGAGGAGGAGGAGGAGGAGGAGGAGGAGGAGGAGGAGGAGGAGGAGGAGGAGGAGGAAGAGGACGGGTCGCCCAAGCCCTTCGGAGAAACCCTCCACGCCTTCCCCCGCCCCCCAGCGAGGCGGGCGGGCGACCGCCGCCTCGGGCTCCGCGGGGGCCTCGGGCTCCGGGGCGGGCTCCGCGGGCGGCGGGCAGGCCGCCTGGGCGAGGCCGGCGGACGCCGTCCCGTCGACGCCGACGCCGACGACGACGACGGCGACGACCACGACGACGACGGCGGCTACCACGACGCCGACGCCGACAGCCACGACCGCGGCCACGACATCGACGTCGGCCACGATCGCGAGGACGGCCGCGACGGCAACGTCGACAACGTCGACGACGACGACGACGACGCTGACGACCACGACGACGACGTCGACGACGACAGTGACCGTGACGACGACGGTGACGACGACGACGATGACGACGGCGACCACGAAACTACCGATGTTGACTTCCATGGTGACAAACGGTGAGCGTCTCTTCGCGACTTGTGCCGCCAAGGGACTGGGACTTCTTGTGTCTGCCGTCCACAAGTGCCCCCGCCCGGTCCCCCTGGCGCGCGCCGACTCAGGCCTCCTAGATGGGGTCCGAGCAGATGGTGTCGGAGGATCGCGCCGCATCGCCGATGCAACGGCGATGCATCGGCGACGCCAGCGGTGCATCGCGCTGAAAAAAACGAGCTCCTATCGAGCCGCATCTGCGATGCATCGGCGATGCATCCGCGATGCGGCGTGATCCTCCGACCCCATCTGCTCGAACCCCGCATGGCGGGTTCAAAATCCTGCCATTTCTTGGGAAACCGATTTTTACGTCCGCTGGTTTCCGCAGGTCTTCCGCTGGCTTCCGCCGAGGAAGAGACAACAACTCCTTCGGCCCTCGAAAGCGAAGCCTTTTCTGGAATGCCTCATGTGAGAGGCCTCGATCTCAAGCGACAAAAAGTATGATCCAGAAAGCTATGATTTAAGAAGTCTGGCCTAGCTCCACTGACGCGTCTTTAAACATATCTGACGCTGGAAGTGCGGACGCGCTCAAGAAACCGGGCCACAGCTTTCCACCAGGTTGGTTCTCAGAAACGCTGTCCCAGCTTTTCGGGAGGACGCTTCTTCATCAGATGCTCGACTTGACTGTACTAGACGAGCGCGTTCCACGAATCGCAAAGGAACTACTCGCAAATGGCCTGGATCCGCCATGGGAGATGTACGATACATTACACCGAAGCAGACATGTGTTTTTTTTCAGACGTTTGCGAGTATGCACTTTGCAAGTAGTGGAATGCGCTCAGTGATGTACCATGCTGGGGCTGGCCCCCGCCCCGGCTGCTGCTGCGGCTCCACCGCCTTGGCCGGCTGCTCTGGCTCGCTCGACCTGGAACTCTTCCGCGCCTGGGTGCCCCCCGCCCCCCCTCCCCCCTCGCGCGCACGTTCCCTCCTTCAGTGCAGGAGGGAACGGCCGCGAAGAGAAGGAGCATGACTCATGCCCCTTCGCTTGCATGCCGGGCAGACTGCCTGTCGGTGCCCCCGTTTAGCCTCACGCTGGTGCGGATTGCGTCCGCGTCGCCGGCGACGGAAAAAAATGCATTATACAGGAGAGAAAACCCAATCGGTGGATGGTTTCCGCTGAGGAGGTCGACCGGGAACCCGGGAGCCTGGGAACCCAAAGCCCACCGAAATCGGCCCGGAACCAATAACCGGGAACCCGGGAACCAGGGAACCCGGAACCGGGAACCCGGGAACCCAGCCTGCTACCAAAATCGGCGGGAAACTTTCGCCAAATCTTTCAACTTCCGCCTCGACCTCTCCAGTGCAAGCACTGATTGGGGAAGCCTTGCTGGGGCGAGCCGGCCTTGGAGATTCCCACCTGCAGGCTCCGCTGCGACGGCTCCGCAGCGGGGCGCGCCTGCGGGCGTGGCGGCGCGCGCGCGCGGCTGGCAGGCGGGCGCCCCAGCGGCCGCGGCGGCCCCATCCCTCCGCCGCGGAGCTGATGTGGCCGCGTCCCTCGATGCAGCCCTGCCAACTTGCGGTGGTCACACGCCCGCGTGTTGGCGAGCACGTCGTGCGACCCCTCTCAGGGAGCCCTCGGGGGGGAGCCTTCGGCAGCCCGACGGAGATGGCATGACCCCGTGTTGACCCCGTGACCCAGCGGGGCTGTGTGACCCCGTGTTGGCCATGACCGCCGCTCCAGTAGATAGCCCTTGTGACGCGAACGAAACCTGAGAGAGGAGGAGTGAGGAGGGGGAGGCGGTGGTGGAGGTGCTCGATGGGGAAGGAGGGACAAGAGGTGGAGGAGATGGTGGAGGGGAGGAGGGGCATGGAGACATAAGGAGGGACAGCTGTGCTGGGGGAGAGGGCCGCAGAGGAAGCTTGTGGCTTGTTTCGGACCAGTCCGAGGAGGTGCTCGAGTCCTGTGGGGCATCTCAGGGTCCCAGCGCACGATAGCCGAGGCAGGGAGCTCTGAGGACAGAGCTGGAAACATGGAGATCTACAACGGAGTTTCCTGAACAGGACAAGGCGGCACGTAGAAGAATGGGAGAAAGAGGAAAGAAGCAAAGCGAGGAGGAAAGGGCTCATTGAACCAGAACCCATCAAGACGTCCCATACAGGTTCTTGTGTTGCCCATTTCATACTTGAAGCGTCGTGAGGGCTCTCTAAAGGGGTCTAGGGAGGGGAAGGAGGAGGAGCGAGGGAACCAAGAACGATGAGCAAGAGGAAGAACGTCTCGGGCCGCTCACGGCCGTCTCTCGGGGCCTCTTGAAGACCCGTGTGCCTTTTGAAGGGGGGCTCTGGGGGATCTATCTCGCTTCGGAAGGGTGCACGTCCTGAAGGTGCAGAGTCTATGGGGGCCCTCTGGAGCCTATGTGGGGCGTCTGGGGATCCTTTGGGGGTCCTCGGGGGCTATGAGGGGGCCTCTCTTTTGCCATCTCGCGACGTTCTGAGGCCGTCTGGCGCCTTCGGAGGCTTGGGGGCAGTCAGGGCCGTCTCGAGGGCCGTCCTGGGGTGTCCGAACCCCAGAGCGGCGAGGACGCTAACATCTCCCAAAACCATAGTGGAATCTGCGGCTTTGACCTCGTGAGGCCTTCCTCATGGGCCTCTTGGAGCCTCCTGGGGCCATCAGGTGTCCTCTTGGGCTGTCTTGGGGTCGCCCTGGGCTATTTTGGGGCCTTCTTGGGCGTCTGGATGCTTCTCGGGCGCGTCCTGGAGGGCAGAGGGACATGGCTCGCGAGAAAATAAAAATTGAGGATGCGGGACACCAAACAAACCATTCCCATATTGCTTCCCGCGCTGTCCGTTCCCAACGTGCAATCTTGTCGGGGCCCTGTGAAGAGGTTCAAAAGAAACGGGAACTCACACCACACACACACACAGACACACACACACACACACAGACACACACACATACACACACATTACGCACAACTACGAGTATGGCATCTCCAGGCCTTCTCGAGGGTCTGTTGGAAGCCCTTTTAGGCAGTCTTGGGGCTCTCTTGAACTGTCTTGAGGTCGTTTGGGGCTGTCGTGAGGGGCTTGGGCCGGGGGGCTCCTGCTAGGGCCCACTTTGGGCCCTCTTTGGGACCACCTGTTGCCCTGTTGGAGCTCTCTTGGAACTATTTTCTTCGGGTTCTCTGGTGCTCCTCTTGGGCCGTCTTGGGACTCTCGTGGGCCATCTTGGGGCCTTCTTCGGCCTTGTGGTGGCTTTCTTGGGAGCCTCTTCAGCCGTCTTAAGGCGATCTTCGGGGCATCGTGGGCCTTCTTGGAAGCTGTTCAAATCCGAAAGCGGCTGTGCTGAAAATGAATGCTATCCGAAAGGCATGTGACGCTTGCGTGCCTTTGAAGATTCCCTGGGAAAGCCCATGCGGCCAAACGGTGTGCAGAAGTCTGGCCAAACCCTTGGACTATTTGTTTCCTCAGCCGTTGCGGAACCCCGTAGGGGAAAACTGTGGAAGGAACGTCGGAGAAGGAGGCCTCCGGGGAGCTTCCTGGGAGCCTTGTGGGGGCTCTAAGCCGCCTCTTGGGGGCCTCCTGGGGCCTCTTGGGGTTGGGACCTCTGGGGGCTTCTGGGGGGCCTCATTGGGGCCGCTTGGCTTTCGGAGGCCGTCTTGGGGCACACTTGAAGGCTGTCTTGGAGGTCTCTGTGGCCGCCTTGGGCCGTCTTGGTGGCTTCTTGGGCTTTCTTGGGGCTTTCTTGGGGCTCTCTTGGGCAGTCTTGCGGGCCTCTTGGGGGCTTCTTGTGCCGTCTTTGGGGCATCTTGGGGGCATATGCACCTGTCTTGGAGCGTCGGATGCCCGAAAAGAGGAGAACGCGAAAATCAATGAACCACCCTACAAAGCCTCGTGGAGAACCTCTTGGAGCCTTCTAAAAGTGTTTCAAAAGCCGCTTGACCTTCAGAGGCCTTCTTGGACCCTCCCTGGGCAGTCGTGAATCCCTCTTTGTTAGCTGTATGTCGGGCCGTTTTGCAAGTTTCTGGGGCCGTCCAGTGCCGTCTTGGGGACATATTGGCCCAATATGTTCCCAAGACGGCACTGGACGGCCATATGGGGCCGTCGTGCGGGCCTCTGGGCCTTTTGGGCCGTCTGGGGGCGATCCTGGGAGCCTATGGACCCGTCTTGGAGCGTCGGATGCCCGAAAAGACGAGAACGCCAAAATCTTGGGCAGTCTTGGGGCGTCTAGAGGGCTTCTTGGCTTTCAGGGGCCGTCTTGGGCCCTCCCTGGGCATTCGTGGGTCCCCCCCTTAAACATTTTAGGGACGTCTTGGAGGTCTCGGGGGCCGTCTTGGGGGCCTCTTGGGCTGTATTTGGGCCATATTGGGCCGTCTTGTGGACCTCTTGGGCCGTCTTGGAGCGATCTTGCTGGCCGATGGGCCCGTCTTGGAGCGTCGGAAGCCCGAATAATCGAGAACGCCAAAATCATTTCAAAACCATTTTGGGAAATCTCAAGAGTTTGGCCTCCTGAGGTTCTCTTGGAGCCCTCTTGGGGCGTCTGTAGGGACTCTCGGGCCGCCTGCAGGACATCTTTGGACGTTCTCTGGCCCTCCTGGACCTCTTGGAAGTTCGCCCGGATTCGCAACTGAAAACTGTTGCCGACTTGCGCCGTCTTGCGACGTTTCTTCCGTTCTTCCACCCGTGTCCGGGGCCATATCTCGAAGGGTACCCTCCCAGACCCCACCGAGGGGGACACACAGAGGGGACCCCCTCCGCAGTGTCGGAACAACATGGACGGCGATGACGTGCGGCCCGCCAGAAAGCTTGCAGAACTAGCGCGGCGCGGGGATCGTGCGGAGTCCGCGCGCCGGACGAACACTGTGGAGGCCTCCCAAATAGGGTCCGAGCAAATGGGGTCGGAGGGTCGCGCCGCATCGTCGATGCATCGGCGACGTGTCGGCGACGTCGGCGATGCATCGGAGCCGTCAGGATGAAGAAACTCGGGCTCCACATCGAGCCGCATCGCCGATGCATCGGCGATGCGGCGCCATCCCCCCTCCGACCCCATCTACTCCGACCCCATCCGGGAAGCCTACATAAAAAAAACGCAAACTCGCGCGGGAAGCATGCGGATTCCGCGCGCCGGATGCGTACGTGCAGAGTGTCGGCGTCTTCTTCCCTGCATCGGCAGCTCGCTGAAAAAAGAGCGGCATGCGGGGGCAGCGCAGTTGTCCCACTCTCGCCTGGGCCGACCGCGCCCTACGGCACCTGTCGTCCCGGTAGGCAGGCCCTCGAGAGGTCAAGTGCGGCGTGGGCATTGGACAAGGAACCCCTAGTCGACGAGCTCGCTCCACTACCCGCAAAGTAGCTACTCGCAACTGGCCTGGATCCGCCGCGGGGGATCTACGATAAATTACATCGAGGGTAACATGGTTTTTTCGGGCGTTTGCGAGTAGGCACTTTGCAAGTAGTGGAACGCGCCCGGTGAGCAAGGAACCCTTAGATAAGGAATCCAGGGTTTGGAGGCCGGTGGAACTCCAACCGAAGCTTGGCCATGGATACCGCCGCCGCCCTCATCAGATAAGGAATCCTCCAGGGTCTGCAGCCTCGTGGGCGCAGTCCTTAACCAACGCCCCCGTCGTGACACATCTAGGGCGAAGTAGAGAAAGGCAAAACGCCATGAACATAAACTTTTGGCGCTCGGCGCGGATTTCTCGCATCTGCGCTGGACCCCCCTCCCTGCGCCAGGGGCTGCGCCGGAGGCGCCGCTGGGAGGGGCCCAGCGTGGATCCAAGAATTCCGCGCGGAGCGCCAAAAGTTTATGGTTATAGCCTTTTATTATGCTTATTCTTCTTCTTCGAGCTGAGGCCAATCGATGCTGACTGTGTTTGCCGACGCTTCCCCAATGAAGCTCTGCCTCAGCGGATCTCACTTGCTTGCGAAGGAACCAGTGCGTTCTGGACGCGGCCGCGCCAGGGGGTCCTCGAGGTTCTCCGGTCTGGATCTCTCACAAGGGGGGTCCTCGGAGTTTCTCGGTCCTGCTTCCTTGCCAGAGCCTTGCGCTCCCAGTCTTACTTCCTACTGTAAGGGTTCCTCGGATTCCCTGGTCTTGTTCTTGTTTGGGTTCCTTGGGCTCCCCGATTTTGTTCGTCGGTCTCCCAGGTCGTGCTCCTTGCTTGGGTTCCTCGGGTTCTCAGTCTTGTTCCCTGCTCGGGTTTCTCTGGTCCGGGGTCTTGTTGCTCGGGGTCCCCAGCACTGCAAACCAATGCCAAGCAATACCAAGTACTGCGCCGATGCAATAGGAAGCTTTCCACTACTAAGGGTCGCGCCAGGTTTATTGTTTTTGCTTCTTCCTTCGCTGTATTAATTTCTGTATACTTTCTTTGTCTTTCTCTCTCTCTCTCTCTCTCTCTTTCTCTCCATAGATCTGTTCCAGTTCATCTTTTTTCTAGAGAGCGGAACCTTGCGAAGCCCCCCTCCCAAACAGGACCCTTCTCCCCCCTTCTTCCCCCGCCCCCGATCCCAAGGCCTGGGGGCCTTCTG